CAGTCACTAATATTATCAATTCATTAATATCATCTGTTTCATGAGAAAGGTCATTAAGTACCAGGAAGCTATCAGGCTCACAGTGGTGGATATAAGTTTTCAAAAATTTTTTAATTGAAAGCAAAAACTGAGTTATGGGCAACAAATTCTGTTAATTGTTTTCTTTGACATGCCAGACTCAGTTGATTAATTTTCAGGAAAATAAAAAATATTCAAGTCTGCCAATACTGAAATCTGAATAGTCATAATCTGTCTTTCAGTCTTTCATGGGAATAAAAATGCTATTCCATGAAAAAGCACCTAGTTCAGCCTGCAACTCAGTTACACTTCTGCTTTACCTATTTTTTTTTTTTTTTTTTTTTTAGACAGAGTCTTGCTGTGTTACTTGGACTGGAGTGCAGTGATGCAAACATAGTTTATTTCAGCCTCAAGCTCCTGGGTTACAAGCATTCCACCTGCCTCACCTTCCTGATTAGCTAGAACTACAGGAATGCACTACCATGCCTGGCTATGTTTTTGTTTTTGTTTTTAGAAATGGGGTCTTCTTACATTGCCCAGGGTGGTCTCAAACTCTTGGCTCAAGTGATCTTCCCACCTTGGCCTCCCAAAGTGCTGGGATTACAGCCGTGAGCCACTGGGCACAATCCTCTCTGTTTCCTCTACATAACTATTGCACTTTGAAATGCAGCAGAAGTGCTTTATACATACTATCTCTTTTCGTCTGTTTTTATGCTGCTGTTAAAGACATAGAGGCTGGGAAGAAAAAGAGGTTTAATTGGATTTACAGTTCCACATGGCTGGGGAGGCCTCAGAATCATGGCAGGAGGGGAAAGGCACTTCTTACATGGCAGTAGCAAGAGAATAACGAAGAAGAAACAAAAGCAGAAAGCCCTGATAAACCCATCAGATCTCATGAGACTTAATTCACTATCACCAGACTAGCATGGGAAATATCAAGCCCATGATTCAATTACTTACCCCTGGGTCCCTCCCACAACACGAGGGAAGTCTTGGAGATACAATTCAAGTTGAGATTTGGGTGGGGACATAGCCAAACCATATCACTATCCATTTCCTCCCATGGGATATTAAAAATACTCATAACAGATTTAATAAAATTTTAATTTGTACTGTATTATCAAAGACATTCTTAAGTGAAACTGGCATTTAAAAAAATAAACATGAGTGTGTGGTGACAAAGGATACGGTCACAACTCGTACAGTTTGGTGCCACTGCCTTGATTCATGCCAAGGTACTGGCAGTTTAACTCGCTGTTCCTTTTTTTGTCATGAGTTCAAATGTCAGCACCATGAAAAAGGAAACTAACATCTTAATATGCATGTGAGAATAGTTTCAACCTCATGGATGCCCCAAGAGGATCTCAGTAACCCTTGAGAGTGTGAACCACACTGATTACTGCTAACTGGGAGGCTCCCAGTCTTTCATTCTAACTGGGAGGCCTCCCAGTCTTTCCAGCCATCTCATAGCTGTGTTCAAACACTCGGCTTTGGGGGTAAGACACTGGTTTGTTCCCCATGTTTCTAAGGGGACATGAGGAATTTGCAAGGCTCCCTCAGGCCCCTCATGCCCAGCATCATGGTGCAACCTCTGTTATTTTTTCCCTTATGCTGTGGTGAAGGTGTCCTGTGAAGGTCCTCATCATAACGTAGTCCTGTCAGCCCTGAGATCCCCAGCTTTGTGTATGAGTGGGTTTGTTACCATTAATATCAGAGCTTGGTGGGCCTTTACCCTCTCAGGCACACTCATCAATATCCTAATGCTGAACCCAAATCTGCATCCTATTTATATTCACACATTGACGTCAATCCCATCTTTTGGATTTACAAAGAACAATTTGAATCCCTTTACAAAAATAGTCCTTTTGATTTTTTCCAAAAGGCTGTCAACCTCCCTGTCACTTCTGTTCTCAAAAACTAAATGCTATGACGGGAATGAGATGGACATGGGTTTAAGTTTTGCACAGTCACCTGAACTGTGACGTTGGGCAAGTCACTTCATTTCTTTCATTTCTGGTTCATTATCTGTGAAACAGGGATAATAATTCTTAACTCATAAGGTGCTATGGTGATTTCAGTGTTTTAAGGTGAGGTTCCCAGCCCCAGGGCTGCAGACTGGTATCAGTCTGTGATCTGTTAGGAACCAGGCGGCACAGCAGGAGGTGATCCGCATTACTGCTGCCTCCTGTCAGATCAGCGGAGGCATTAGATTCTCAAAGGAGTGCAAATCCTATTGTGGACTGGCATGCAAGGGATCTAGGTTGCATGATCCTTATGAGAATCTAACTAATGCCTGATGATCTGAGGTGGAACAGTTTCATCCCAAAACCATCTTCCCTCCCTTCCCTCCAAGTCCATGGAAAAATTATCTTCCATGAAACTGGTCCCTGGTGCCAAAAAGTTGGGGACCACTGGCCGGGTGCGTTGGCTTATGCCTGTAATCCCAGCACTTTGAGAGGCCATGGCTGGCGGTCAGGAGATGGAGATCATCTTGGCTAACACAGTGAAACCCCTTCTCTACTAAAAATACAAAAAATTAGCCTGGTGTGGTGGCTCGTGCTGGTAGTCCCAGCTACTTGGGGAGGCTGAGGCAGGAGAATCACTTGAATCCGGGAGTCGGAGGTTGCAGTGAGGTGAGATCACACCACAGCACTCCAGTCTGGTGACAGGTCTCAAAAAAAAGAAAAGAAAATTGGAGACCACTGTTTTAAGGGATCAAATTCAATGCTGAGTTCACAGTAGACATACAACAAATGTTATTTCTCTTTGCTTTTTGAAGAATGTCCTACTCATAATTTATTTTAAAATATAAGTATATTTTGAAATTTTAATAATAGGTATTATTACTAGTGGTAATGGCACCATAATATCACATTTTATTAAGAATTGTTGCCCTTCTCCCATGCTGGTCTTCCAAATCTATAAATTTGATCCTAGGATCTACCTACCAGTTGACTATCAGTTTGAGGCATTTTTTTTTTTTTTGGATGAAAGAATAAGGCATAGAAATAAATGTTCAAGAATCTGAGATGAAAAACTTTATTCATACATTAGGGGACTTCATAAGCAAAAGAAAGATAGATGCCTCATATTTCACAGAGGGAATTAAAGTATGATAATAAATAAATAAATCTTATTGTATAAGCAAAAAGAAGAAAATGGCTCCAATGGCTTTCATTTTTCTAACAAGCAATGAACCAGTGACATAGAAGCTAAGATTACAAGAGTATAGACCAATGATCTAATTATGAAGCTCTCATAAACTTGGAGTACATAAGAATGAAGTTGAGAGATGTGGAAATGTATCAACAAAGGATATCATGGAGTCTTTAGAGATGTAAAGAGTATTAGTCTCTCCAGGGTCAGGCTAGCCAGTAATGGGGTGGCGATTCGGGAAGGCCTCTTACAGCTTTATTAATTCCGGGACACCTCATTTACCTGGGATAATGTTTCACAGGGATAAACTATTTTATAGAAATAAAAAAATTTCAGAAAATTAAATTACTTACCTCCTGAAACTAAGACTATTTTTATTTTAAATTAGTGGTTTATAACCCAGAGTTTATGAATCGGTTCTAGGAAGTTTCTGAACTGCCTAAAATTATGTGGAAGATTTTGTGGGGTTTTTCTCACATGCATGTTTCTGAAGAAAGAATCCATTATTTTTACAAGTTTTTCAAAATGAACTATAATCCATAAACAGTAAGAACTACTGTTTCAATCAATTCTTGAAGTAATTTTTTTCCAATTGATTATTGACTTCCCTATCTTATTTGCTACTAGTTGGGAAACTGGACACATTCAGGGACACTGATTTTAAATTCTTATGATTTAAAATTCTAGTGATGTCTCTGTGTGTGTGTATGTGTGTGTGTGTGTCCTCTCTCACAGTTATTCTTCCCTTGTAACCAGTAGGTTTGTTTATAGCAGTTTCTCCCTGCCAACTATCAAGTAGCTAGAAAATTACATAACAAAGCTTGTTAGAATAATGGTAAATAGACTCTTTGTGAAAGTGTCTCCTATGAATAAAGTGTGCAGGTGTTTGTGTGCAGGCCATGGGGTATCTCTTTTAGTGAGTCAGGGACCAGTTTTACTTCACATTCTTCACTGTGGTCTTGATGACCAAGCTGACCAGATACACATGATTTCCTGACACTTGAGAGATAGATGTGTTGTTTACACAATGTAGACTCCACTAGTATGTAAATTTCACTCTGTGTTATCGGGCTTTGTATTTGTCAACTATTGCCACAGTAGTGCTACATTCCAAAGCACCCCAAAACTATGATACAAGCATTTATTCCTCTGCTGGTCAGCCAGAGCTTTGCTGGTCTAAATGTGTTTAGTTGGGCTTGTCTCAAAACTGTGGGTTGGATGCAGTTCTGCCACAGCACTTCTTGGGTCAGTAGCTATTTGAGGCAAAGATGTGGTAAAAGAGAGGTGAGCAGAGACATATGATACTGCTTAAGGCCTAGGTTTGGGACTGAGACACTTGCTTCTACCTACCTTACACTGCCATAGCAAACCACATAGTTAAACTCAACAATGTGGAAGGGAAGAATATTCCTCCAAAAAGAGCAAGTGAATATTGGCTGAATAATTACTTACTTGGCCACAAGCTGCTGTTTTTTAATAAGTAAATTCAGATATTTAAAAATGGAGAAATAACTACAGATCAACTTGTCATGATTTTTTTAAGTCATAACCAGTTTTATTGCAAAAGGACCCTGTACACATTTACCAATTCTAGTACCTTAATAGCTACCCAACAAGTCATTAACATACAGAAACATGCATCATGAGAAGCAAGAAGTTACCACCCATCCCTTCTGCATATTAGCAACTTGTCACTCCTGAGCAACAGTGCTCACATCACTGAGGTCTGTGAACAGTCACTTTTCGCATTCATCCTGAGTGAAAGGTGGAATGACTTGTCGTAAACGAAAGTATTTTACAGAATTTACTACAAAACGTCATAAAAGCTGCCTTCACTTAAGCTCTCTCTCCGTATCCGGCGAGCCAACCTGGATGTCTTTGGGCATGCTGGTGACTCTTAGCGTGGATGGCACACAGGTTAGTATCTTCGAGCATACCCACCAGGTAGGCTGCAGCAGCCTCCTGCAGCGCTCTGAAACCTCAGGTCGGTGTTGAAATCCTGCGCGATCTCCCTCACCAACCTCTGGAAAGGCAGCTTCCCGATGTAAGGACGAATCTCTCCAAGCGCTACGGTCCCGGGCCTGCAGCGACGAGGTTTCTTCACCCCGCTGGTAGAGGGGGCGCTTTTCCTGGCGGCTTCCGTGGCCAGCTGCTTGCGGGGTGCTTTCCCACCAGTGGATTTACCAGCAGTCTGCTTGGTTCGGGCCATTTTCTTTTACCCCACGCGGAAGTTTTAGGCCACTTCTCCGACCGCCGCGCCGCTTCTGCCACCTGAGGAAGAGCCGCAGTCGACAAGCGAAGAAACGACACTGCCCCCAACGAACGACCAAACCGCTCTGCGCTCGCTTGGCATGATTTTTTATAAGGCCGATTACGCGTTCTTTTAAGATCTCAAAACTTCCAAAAGAAAGAACTTTTTATTGCCATTCATCCTAAAAGTGTAAGTAATGGACCAAAAAACAAAACAAAAAATGCAATCTCACCCAGCTTAAAATATGAAGGAAAAAATATTGCCGATATTCCCTCAGCCATAAAATTTCAAACCTAATTCTGAATCACAGTTTATGGATATTATCATTTGAGTGGCTTTCTTGAGCTCCCATGATACAGTAATCCCACAAGGGGCAGTTTGTTGTTTCTGATAATATAGTTTCTATCTGAATTCCCCTTCTTCTTCTCTTATTACAATGTGTCTGTGTAAATAGAGAAATTTTACCTTCATAATTTATTCATGGCTGGGAAGAAGGGTGCAGCCTTAGGGAGAATCACTGAAGAGAGGCATTGCCAGTCCTCACTTACTCAGGGACAGCTCTCATGTATGCATCCCAAGGATCAATGAGAGCAGCTTTCCTTAATTCAGAACACCTGAACACAGTAGGAAGATGCTGACCTTTATATGTACTTTCTGGCTTTTTATTCTTTCTTGATGTAAGATTCTTCCTTAAAATGGGGATGATACAGCTTATGTCTCTAAGACTTAACGAATAACACACCATGGGCAGGATGTAGGGTGATCTTGATGGGAAAGGGCATGAGACTTGGCCTCAGTTGGCCAGTTTGAACTTCCGATGACCTTGGGAAACAGACCTGACTTCTCTGAGCCAAGTCAGCTTATCACTAGAGTATACTCATGTCTGTCTCACAGCACTGTGTGTTTCACACAAATTAGCTCTTAGTTACCTACAAAATGGAAAGAATTTATCAGCCTACATGAGTAGGAGAAACTAAGAGAACTTTGGTTCTAGAGAGTTTTAAATCCTTGGAAGAACCACCAAAATAAAGTGAAGAGTACTCTTATATTCTAATCTTGGATTCCAACTGTATAAAATTAAACAGAAGAGAAGCAGAGAGGAGTTAGTTTCCAAACACTCAGATGTTATAAGAATTGTTCACAGTCATTGATTTTATATCTTGAAATCCTACAAGTTTCAAAAAAGGCTAATTCAGACAATATGCACTTCCTTCCAGTGATATTAGATGAATGGGAGTGGTGCAGGATGGAGAAAGAAAAAAAAAAAAACACAGATGAACAAATTTGCCACTGTTTTCAAGTTTCTTTCTTTATTTTTTTTTTTGGAGACAGAGTCTTGCCCTGTCACCCAGGCTGGAGTGAAGTGGCACAATCTCGGCTCACTGCAACCTCCACCTCCCAGGTTCAAATGATTCTATGCCTCAGCCACCCGAGTAGCTGGCATTACAGACGCATACCACCACACCTGGCTAATTTTTGTATTTTGAGTAGAGAGAGAGTTTCACCATGTTGGCCAGGCTAGTCTCATACTTCCAGCCTCAAGTGATCTGCCTTTCTCAGCCTCCTAAAGTGCTGGAATTACAAGCATGAGCCACCACCCCTGGCTGTTTTCAAGTTTCTAAGTATTAACTTTTTATAGAGAAACTGTTTAACTCTCTTATGAAAACCTCTTACCTCTGTACAATGTAGAAGTAACCTGTAAACAAAACACTAATTGTATTCTTGTTTAACATTTAAAATAAGTTTTCTCTAAAATTGGTAATCCTATAACAATAGTAACAATGACTGTTTCTAAGCCTTCCCATGCAAGGCCCTATGCAAAATGCTTCATATGAATTATCTAATAGACCTGCATGAAGACAAATATTCAACTTCTATTAAAAATAAAGACATTAAACACCAAAGTATTTATTATGCTGTTAAGGCAAAATGATTTACTTTGTTCAGTTGTCCTAGATAGAAAAAAAAATTGCCAGATAAGTGCAAATGGAAAGACACACACAGCTCACTATGGAGAGCACTGATTATCAGCATCTTTCACTTAGTTCCATGAATATATTTTTATTGACTGTCATGCATGGCTTAATGTCAGGGATGAGTTCTAAGAGATGTCTTGTTAGGCAATTTCATCATTGTGTGAACATCATAGAGTGTACTTATACAAACATAGATGGTGTAGCCTATTACACACCTAGGCTATATGGCACAACCTATTGCTCCTAGGCCACAAAGCAGTACAGCATGTTACTGTACTGGATACTGTAGGCAACTGTTACACAATTTGTAAACATACCCAAACATACAAAATATACAGTAAAAATATGGCATATAAGATGAAAAGTGGTACATCTGTGTAAGGCATATACCATAAATGAAGCTTGCAGGACTGGAAGCTTCTCTGGGTGAGTAGTGAGTGGTAAGTGAATGTGACGGCCTAGGATATTACTGTCTACTACTATAGACCTTATAACTGCTGAATAGTATACATAGGCTATACTAGATTAATAACAAAATATTTTTCATTTTTCAATAATTAACCTTAGCTTGTCATAACTCTTATCCTTTATAAAATTTTTAATTTTTTAAAGTTTGACTTTTTTGTAGTAATGCTTAGCTTGAAATACAAGCACGTTGTACAGCTATATTAAAAAATCCTTTGATCAAGAACTTAGAAGAAGGGATCCAAGATGGCTGATTAGGAGCAGCTCAGGATTGCAGCTCCCAGTGAAAGCGTGGAGGGTGAGTGGATGCCGCATTTCCAGATGGATTTTTATTGCCCCACAGACCAGTAGATTCCCAGGCAGAGGAGCCCCATGGGTTGCCAGCGTGGCTGGTTTGGCCGGTGCGGCGGTTTTGGTCAGTGCAGCTGTTTTGTTGGCGCCCCAGCGCTGTGATTCTCCATACAAAATACATGGGCCTGGGTGCCATTTTAGCTGGCGATTGGAGCTCCGGCAAGGCAGAGTTGCCCATTCATCTGATTAAAAAGGGGACTGAAATAGGGAGCCAGGCCATCTTGGGTCCTCTCTCTATCCTTGTTAATTTTCTGTCTTGTTGATCTGTCTAATATTGAAAATGGGGTGTTAAAGTCTCCCAATATTATTGTGTGGGAGACAATATTAAGTCTCTTTGTAGGTCATTAAGAACTTGCCTTATGTATCTGGGTGCTCCTGTATTGGGTGCATATATATTTAGGATCATTAGATCTTCTTATTGCATTGATCCTTTTACCATTATACAATGTCCTTCTTTGTCTCTTTTGATCTTTGTTGCTTTAAAGTTTATTTTATCAGAGACGAGAACTGCAACTCTTGCTTTTTTTTGCTCTCCAATTGCTTGGTAAATCTTCCACCATCCCTTTATTTTGAGCTTTTTTGTATCCTTGCATGTGAGAGGGGTTTCCTGGATACAGCACACTGATGGGTTTTGGCTTTTTATCCAATTTGCCAGTCTGTGTCTTTCAATTGGGGCATTTAGTCCATTTATATTTAGGGTTAATATTGTTATGTGTGAATTTGATACTGCAATTTTGATGCTAGCTGGCTGTTTTGCCCGTGAGTTGATGCAGTTTCTACATTGTGTTGATGCTCTTTACCATTTGGTATGTTTTTGGAATGGCTGGTACTAGTTGTTCCTTTCTATGTGTAGAGCCTCTTTCAGGAGCTCTTGTAAAGCAGGCCTGGTGGTGATGAAATCTCTGAGTAATTGCTTGTTCACAAAGGATTTTATTTTTCCTTCACTTATGAAGCTTAGTTTGGCTGGATAGGAGATTCTGGGTTGAAAGTTCTTTTCTTTAAGGATGTTGAATATTGGCCCCCACTCCCTTCTGGCTTGTAGGGTTTCTGCTGAGAGATCTGCTGTGAGTCTCATGGGCTTCCCTTTGTGGGTAACCTGACCTTTCTCTCTGGCTGCACTTAGCATTTTCTCCTTCATTTCAACCCTGGTGAATCTGATGATTATGTGCCTTGGGGTTGCTCTTCTTGAGGAATATCTTTGTGGTGTTCTCTGTATTTCCTGGACTTGAATATTGGCCTGCCTTGCTAGGTTGGGGAAGTTTTCCTGGATCATATCCTGAAGAGTATTTGCCAGCTTGGATTCATTCTCTCTGTCACATTCAGGTACGCCTATCAAACGTAGATTAGGTCTTTTCTTATAGTTCCCATATTTCTTGGAGACTTTGTTCATTCCTTTTTACCCTTTTTTCTCTAATCTTGCCTTCTCGTTTTATTTCATTGAGTTGATCTTCGATCTCTGATATCCTTTCTTCTGCTTGGTCAATTCGGCCATTGAAATTTGTGCATGCTTCGTGAAGTTCTCGTTTTGTGTTTTTCAGCTCCATCAGTTCACTTATATTTCTCTCTAAGTTGTTTACTCTCATTAGCATTTTGTCAAAACTTATTTCAAGGGTCTTAGTTTCTTTGTATTGGATTAGAACATTTTCTTTCAGCCCACAGAAGTTCCTTATTACCCACCTTCTGAAGCCTGATTCTGTCAATTCATCACACTCATTCTCCATCCAGCCTTGTTCCCTTGCTGGTGAGGAGTTGTGATCCCTTTTAGGAGGAGAGGCATTCTGGTTTCGGGTGTTTTCATTCTTTTTGTGCTGGTTTCTTCCCATCTTTTGGATTTATCCATCTGTCATCTTTGTAGTTGCTGAGTTTCAGATTGGGTCTCTTAGTGGATGTCCAGTTTGTTGATGATGAAGTTATTTCTTTCTGTTTGTTAGTTTTCTTTCTAACAGTCTTGCCCCTCTGCTATAGGACCGCTGAGGTCCACTCCAGTCCCTGCTTGCCTGAGGATCACCTGCAGCAGCTGCAGAACAGTAAGGGTTGCTGCCAGTTTCTTCTTCTGCTATCTTTTCTCCCAGAAAGATACTGGCTAGATGTCAGTCTGAGCTGTCCTTTATGAGGTGACTCTTTGGATATACGGGGATCAGGGACCTGCTTGAGGAGATAGTCTGTCCTTTATAGGAGCTCAAGTGCTGTGCTGTGAGATCCATTGTTCATTCAGAGCTGCTGGGCAGGTACGTTTAAGTCTGCTGCAGCAGAACTCATAAACCCCCCTTTTTTTTTTTTTCTCCTCAGGTGTGCTCT